TTCAATAGGATCGTGGCTGATCTGACATTCCTCACGTCCACTTTCCTGCCCTTTCCCCATTCCCCTTGATTCCCCAACCCATCAAGAATCTATCTCAGCCTTAAGTATACACAAGGATTTTTCTCCCACAGCTCTCTGTGGCAAGGAGTTCCAAACACTCACAACCATCTGAGGGAAAAGATTTCTCTTCATCTCAGTCTTAAATTGGCACCCCTTAGTTCTGAGACTGTGCTCTCTGGTCCTCGACTCTTCCATGAGGGGAAATATCCTTTCAGCATTTACCCTGTCAAACCCCTTAAGAATCCTGTTTGTTTCAATAAGATCGTTTCTCAATCATCCACACTCTTGGGAGTGGAGTCCCAGCTGTTTAACCTTTGCTTATTAGACAACCTCTCCGTACCAGGGACCATCCTAGTGAAGCTTCTCTGAACTGCCTCCAATGAAATGATATTTTTTCTTAAATAAGAGGTCCAAAATTGCTCGCAATACTCCAGATGTCTCACCAGCACCTTGTACAGTTACAGTAAGACTTCCCTACTCTTGCAGTCCAACCCCGTTGAAATAAGGGCCAACGTTCCATTAGCCTTCCTGATTCCCTGCTGGCTGTGTGCTAGCTTTCTGTGTTTCCTGCACATATACCACCAAGTTCATTTGTGTTGCAGCTTTCTGCAGTTTTTCTCGATTTAAATAATATTGTTCTTTTATTGTCCCTTCCAAAATGAAGACCTTCGCATTTTCCCACATTGTGCTCCATTTGCCAACGTTTTGCCCATTCATTTAACCTACCAATATCTTCCTGAAAACTGTTTTCATCCATCTCACAATCTGCTTTTCACCTAATTTTGTGTTGTCTGCAAATTTGGCTGCTGTACATTCACTCCCTTCCTCCTAATCATTAATATATATTGCTGACAGTTGTGTCAGCACTGAGCCCTGTGGAACTCCACTGGTTACAGGTCACCAATCTGAAAAGGACTCCTCATCCCCAGTCCTGTTTCCTGCCCATTAGTCAATTATCTATTCATGCCAATATACCACCTCCAATACTGAAATCCAAATATAACGTATCTACTGTTTACCCTCTATCCACTGTGGTACGCATGAGGCTAACATAGAAAATGCTGGATAAACTCAGCAGATCTAGTAGTACCTGAGGAGAAAGAAGCAGAGTTAATGTTTCAAGTCCAGTATGACTGAGAGTTTTTTTTTAATCATTCACGGGATGAGGGCATCACTAGCTAGGTCAGCATTTATTGTCCATCCCTAATTGCCCAGAGGGCAGTTAAGAGTCAACCACATTGCTGTGGGTCTGGAGTCACATGTAGGCCAGACCAGGTGAGGATGGCAGTTTCCTTCCCTAAAGAGCGTTAATGAACCAGATGGGTTTTTCCCCAACAATCGACAATGGATTCATGGTCATCATTAGACTCTTAATTCCAGATATTTTATTGAATTCAAATTCCACCATCTGCCATGGCAGGATTCGAACCCAGGTCCCCAGAACATTACCTGGGTCTCTGGATTAACAACCCAGTGATAATCCCAGTGGTATGTGAAATAGAGAGGTTTCTGGGGAGAATATTCGAGATTTGGGGCCTAGACTACCGAAGGTATGGCGGAGAATATTCGAGATTTGGGGCCTAGACTACAGAAGGTATGGCTATCAACGGTACAATAGTTTAAACTGGGATTGCGCAAGAGACTAGAATCATTAGAGTGCAGATATCTTGGAGGGTTGGGAGGTGGTTTCGGAGATAGGGGAGGGAGTCAGGCCATGGAGGGATTTGAAAAGAAAGAGGAGAATTTTAAACTGAAGATGTTGCTTGGACTATTCATTCCAGATATTTTTATTGAATTCAAATTTGACCATCTGCCATGGCAGGATTTGAACCCAGGTCTCCAGAATGTTAGCTGGGATCTTTGGATTATACAGCTCAGTGATAATACCACAAGGCCATTGCCTCAGAGTACTGAGAAGGGTCACACCAGACTCAAAACACTGACTCTGCTTCTCTCTCTACAGATGCTGCCAGACCTGCTGAGTTTCTCCAGCATTTTCTGTGAGCATTTCAGATTACCAGCATCTGAAGTACTTTGCTTTCATTGACCTAGAAATCATCCTTTCCGGATGCATCACAGTGTGGTTTGGCAACTGCTCTTCCCAAGACTGCAGGAAACTGCAGAGAATTGTGAACACAGCCCAGTCCATCACACAAACCAGCCTCCTACCCACTGACTTCATCTATAATTCCCACTGCATTGGGAAAGCAACCAATGTAATCAAAGCCCCTCCCACCCTGGTTATATTCTCTTCCACCCTCTTCCATTGGGCACAAGATACAAAAGTTAGTTTACAGATATGAACAGATTCAGGAACAACTTCTTCCCCACTGTTATCAGACTTTTGAATGGACCTCTTTAATGTTAATGTTGATCTCTCTGTCTGGACCTTTTCAGCAGCTGTAACACTGTACCCTGCACCCTGTTCTGTTACCCCGATACACTTGTATAGCACAATCTGCCTGTGTAGCATGTAAGGCAACACTTTTCACTGTGCCTCAGAAGACGTGAAAGTAATAAGTCAAATCAAAACAAATCAAATCCAATGTATGACAGATTGACATAATCGCCTTGGATGAGGGGCATAGAAACATAGAAGATAGCAGCAGGAGAAGGCCATTCAACACAATCATGGCTGATCGTCCAACTCAACTGCCTAATCCTGCTTTCTCCCCATAACTTTTGATCCCATTCACCCTTAGCGCTATATCTAGCTGCCTCTTGAATATGTTCAATGTTCTGGCATCAACTACTCCCTGTGGTAACGAATTCCACGGGCTCACTACTCTTTGGGTGAAGATATGTCTCCTCATCTCCATCCTAAATAGTCTACCTCGAATCCTCAGAGTGAGTGTCCTGGTCCTGGGCACACCCACCTTCAGGAACGTCCTCCCTGCATCTACCCTGTCCAGTCCTGTTAGAATTTTATAAGTCTCTATCAGATCCCCACCTTATTCATCTGAACTCCAGCAGAAACAATCCTAACCTAGTCAATCTCTCCTCATATATCAGCCTCCCCATCCCCGGAATCAGCCTGGTAAACTTCGCTGCACTCCCTTGAGAGCCAGAGCATCCTTCCTCGGAAAGGGAGACCAAAACTGCCCAGTAAAACTGGTGAATGACACATCCTGGTCTGGTTGTCTTTTATACATCAAAATGAAGCTGCAGGATGACCAGTGCATTGATTTCCAAGTTACTGTATTTTTTTTAATGGATTTTCCTTCTGGATTAGCAGTTACTGATACTAACTATGGAGAACATCATTTTGCAGAGTAAGTCTGTTGAACCGAAAGATTTTGCAATTTGATTGGCGATTGAATTTTTCAAGATATTTTCAGATTTCTGCAAGCGACTGTCTTTTTCTTAATTTAAAAAAAAGTCATTCGAGCAGTTCAATACTGACTTTGAAATAATTAAGTACATCATAAAATTAATTCCGGTTCCAGATACATGGGCCTGACATTTTGATATATCTAAGAACAAGCCCATGGGATTGTAACTGTCCGCACAAAGTAATTATTTGAGACAAAACTGGTAATCACAGGAGTTAATTACATGTAGCGTTTAAATTACTTTGATATGGCGAGTTTCAGATGATCTAAATTTTACTGATAACATGCATCATTTGAACGCTTGCAGCAAAAGTGACAAAAATATGTTGAATTAAACCATGTTCTTATACAGTATCATGACAAATGTCCCTTCCATGGTTTTGAGTGCAAGTTGTAGGGAACAGAGTGAACAATGGCTGAGGGTTGATCTGGAAGAGGTCTTTACAACAATCAAAGAGTTTGATAGGGTAGGGATTGAGAAAGTGTTTCCATTTGTGAAGACTTCTGAATTGGGGGACTTCAATGTAAAGTAGTCATCGATAAGCCTATTATGGAATTCACGAGAAATGTCAGTTCCAGACAGTGGTCAAAATGTAGAATTTGTTGCCACAAAGTATAGCCGAGGTGAATAATATTGATTTTATTCAAAGAGAAGCAGAATAAACATGAGGCAGACAGGAAATAGAAGGATATGTTGATGAGTGAGGTGAAGAGGGATGAGCGGAGGTTTGTGTTGAGCAGCAGTGGGTACAAGAACACTGCAGAAATTCGCCAAAGATCCTCAGACAGCACCTTCCAAACCCACATCCATCTAGAAGGATAAGGGCAGCAGATACATAGGAACACCACCCCCTGCAAGTTCCTCTCCAAGCCACTCACCATCCTGACTTGGAAATATATCACTGTTCCTTCACTGTCGCTGGGTCAAAATCTTGGAATTCCCTCCCTAAGGGCATTGTGGGTCTGCCTACAGCACATGGACTGCTGCGGTTCAAGAAGGCAGCTCACCCCCACCTTCTCAAGGGGGCAACTAGGGATGGGCAAGAAATGCTGACCCAGGCAGCGATGCCCACAAGCAAACAAGAAAAAAAAGACTGACATGGACAGTATGGACAGAATCACCAAATTATGCTTATGGACCCAGCATATCTCTGTTTCTCTCCTACATATATATAGAATTTAAAAAATAGATTGTAAGAGGGGGCTTATAGTCCTGCTCTTTCGTCTAAGGTAGAATGAATAATAAGTATACCAAATAATAATATCTGGTCTTCAAATCAGTTTCTGCGTTAGGAAAGTTTTCACCAACGTTTCATTTTTAAAAGTATTTAGCCCAAACCTACACTGAAAGCACTACAGTGGTTCAGGATGCACGTCCACCATCAACAACACCTCAAGGACAAATTGAGTGGGCAGCGCATGAATATTGAAATAGAACTACAGTGGATTTTGTAGTCGGTGGCCAAGAAGCAGTCCCCAGCAGTCACCTTGCTAACAGCTCCTCTGAGAATGTTTTCAACCAGGGACTTGCTGGAATCTGACCTTTGATCCGACATGGTGACCTCTGAACTGTGGCACTGATAAGCGTGAACACGGCAAGAAACAGTGAGGTTCTTCGATCAATCTCAGTTACAATGATGTGGAGGTGCCGGTGTTGGACAGGGGTGGACAAGGTCAGAAGTCACACGACACCAGGTTATAGTCCAACAGGTTTATTTGAAATCACACAAGCTTTCAAAGCGCTGCTCCTTCATCAGGTGAAGCTCATTTCACACGATGAAGGAACAGCTCTTAGAAAGCTTGTGATTTCAAAGAGACTTCACCTGACTAAGGAGCAGTGCTGTGAAAGCTTGTGATTTCAGATATGCCTGTTGGACTATAACCTGGTGTCGTGTGACTTATGACATTTGCAATCCTCACTGAGTCATGCAGATTCCTAAGGCTGGAAATATAACTCAATCTCCTGCTAAAAGCAAAATAACAATCGGGGAAAACAGAGGTGATTACAAGACTGGCAGGAAACTATATACTATACCATATTATTTTAATTATTTTGTTGTTTTTTGTTAATGCCACACCAATACTTAGGAAAGAAGCAGATTCTGCACTTGTGAAGTTAATCTTCTGGTGGCAGAAATTTGTTTGGCTGTAATGAGGACTCATCATGTAAATAAAAATTATTCCTCGGTGTCTCAGCCCTAACTGTGTATCCAGATTTATAACTGGAATTTGTCAATGTCAAGAGATAGCAAGAACTGCAGATGCTGGAGTCAGAGATAACACAGCGTGGAGCTGGGGAAACACAGCAGGCCAGGCAGCATCAGAGGAGCAGGGAAGTTGCTGTTTCAGGTCGGGACCTTTCTTCAGAAAATCAGAAGATTTTTCTGAAGAAGGGTCACGACCCAAAACATCAACATTCCTGCTTCTCTGATGCTGCCTGGCCTGCTGTGTTCCTCCAGCTCCACACTGTGTTGTCTTTGTCAATGTAAACTTGTCATACTGTACTTACAGCCTGCCACCAGAGGAGGTGACAAAATGCTCCCACTGATGGAGACTGATCCCACAGTGTCATATGTTTACAGGATCAGTGTCCACTGTATACATATAGATATGGGAACTGGCAATTGGAAAAGTCAACAGGAAGATTTTATAGAGTATCAATGACTTTTTGAGGTTTCAGGAAGCACCCTTTTATTGATTAAATCCCGTTGCCAAAACACGGGTTCACTATTGACATTACATGCCATTCTATGTCAGGAGCTAGTTGTTTAATTGTTTCTAAGAATCAGCATGATGGAATGAAGAATGCAGCAATTTCCAGTTCGCTCATACTAACCACTCCTTTCCAGAGGAAAGTGCCAGATTCCCAAAACTGATGTTCAAAGATTCTCCAGAGTGTGGGCTCCCTTCTCCAGTGCAGCCGTCCCAGCATCGACTGGATATTCTGGAACTGAATGATTAAGTGTATCCATTGACAATGCTGAGCAGTTCTCGAAGGAATATTTCCAATATTCTGGGTCAATTCGGGAACTAGTCTGAAGGGGTCTGTGATGAGTGCTATGCCTCAACATTGGTGCTCGTTTGAGACCTATGCTACCAGCTATGTTTGGCTCCTTTGAGATTCATAGGTGTTGGCATTGCTAAAATTATAATGAAGGGATTTAGTCCATATGTAAACAAAGATTAAGCACCTTGCATCTGAACGTATTGATTTCCTTTGGCTGCTGAAACACGGACCGTGGCTTGAATGAGAGAAGAATGGTATCGTGGGTTTCCTATACAATAGAACAGTAATTTCATTGTAACACCAGTTTAACCTGTTTCAATCTCATTAATGAATTGATTTTTTTTGTTTAAAACAATTTCAATATAAGCAGTTTTATTTCACAAGTCACAATTGTTAATTGAAGTGCTTTGGGTTTTTTTTAACGTTGAAGGTACCAGACAAATTAAAGTTAGTGTCGAATTGGCCAAAATATCATGAAAATGATCTGGGGGACCCTTGTTGCTTGCCCAAATTTTAAAACTGTCACCTTTACAAAATCAGTGACTATTGTTGGATTTTTCCTTGTTCTGGCTTAACAGTTGAGCATGGAGGCACCAAGTATACAAAGGGTCTGGTTAACACAAGAATGCTGCCTGGACTGGAGGACAGGTCTTATGAGGAAAGGTTGAGGGAGCTAGGGCTTTTTTCATTGGAGCAAAGAAGGATGAGAGGTGACTTGATAGAGGTTTACAAGGTGATGAGAGGCATAGATAGAGTGGATAGTCAGAGACTTTTTCCCAGGACGGAAATGACTGTCACGAGGGAGCATAATTTTAAGGTGATTGGAGGAAGGTATAGGGGGTGATGTCAGAGGTCGGTTCTTCACACAGAGAGTGGTGGCCGTGTGGAACACGCTGCCGGCAGTGGTAGTGGATTCAGATACTTTAGAGACTTTTAAGCGACTTTTGGATAGGCACATGGAGGATAGTAAAATGTAGGGTATGCAGGGTAGATTGATCTTAGTAGGATAATAGGTCGGCACAACATCGTGGGCCGAAGGGCCTGTACTGTGCTGCACTGTTCTATGTTCTATGTTCTAATACACACGTTAATTTACTGAGGATTTGAGAAGAGTTATACAGTTGGAGAACTTGTTCACATGACTGACATAGACTTGATAACTTCATCATTTCCCCATTAGTGACGTGTTCTAAGAACAGAAGCACATCCACTTAAAAGTGAGTGGGGAGGTGATGGCCTAATGGTACTACCACTGGACTGTTAATCCAGAAAACCATATAACATAGGTTCGAATCCCACTACAGCAGATGGTGGAATTAGAATTCAATAAATATCTTGAATTAAGAATCTAACGATGACCGTGAATCCATTGTCAATTATTGAAAAAGCCCATCTGGTTCACTAATGTCCTTCAGGGAAGGAAACTGCCATCCTTACCTGGTCTGGTCTACCAGTGATTCCAGACCCACAGCAATGTGGCTCTGGGCAATTAGGAATGGGCAATAAATACTGCCTAACCAGTGACACCCTCATCCTGTGAATGAATAAAGGAAAAAGTCCCTCGCAACAACAGCATCAGGAGATCTTTGAGCCCTAAAGTCTTGGTTACACTCTGGAGCAGTAGTGAGGGTGTATTACAAGGTGCAGCAGAGAAAGACCACAGTCTGAGATCTTTCTGCTGAAGTTGAATGAGGGTCCATTCAGTTATTGGACCCCCATGGTGCCTCAAATGCATATAAATATAACCTTGTACATGTGAGAGATGCTTTTGGTTTGTTTGGATAGAGTCAATCTCCAATGTTTGTTTGTTTCCTTGATATGTTACTATACAGAACCAAATTGCATTTGTGACTATGTATATGTACAAAGATATATTTAATAAATAAAACAAAAGACACTATCTATACTGCAGTCTGTCAAATGAGACTTTAAACTCAGGCCCAAACTTCTCTAAAACAAGAACAGAAATTAGTGGAGAAACTCGGCAGGTCTAGCACCATCTGTGGAGAGAAACAAAGTTTTTGCTTCAAGTCCAGTGACCCTTCTTCAGAATTTTCTCTCCCAGTTCAGCATAATAGATCTCATTTTGCTATTTAGGTAAAGAGCAGATTAGATCCTCCATGTGCCCTACAACATTGCTTATCTCCCATCACCATCCCAAAAAGCAGATCAGTCGTTATCACAGTGCTTTCAGAGGGAGCTTGTTACCTGTGTTTTCTACATTGCGAAAGTTACAACAGTTCAAAAATATTTAATCGGCTATAAAGTGCTTTGCCACTCCTGGTGGGTGTGAAAGATTCACTGTTTTTTTCTGTTTGCAAAATTTCTCATGAGCTGACAATGCACTGTTTTCATGATTGAAATTGTACAACTGTTGAAGCCTACCCTGTAGCAATTTCCTTTCCTCTTTGAAATCCTCACGCTCTTCACCTTCCAATAAGTGGTGACTTGATTGGGTTTGCACACTTATAAATTAGGTTGTGGAGTAATTGTTTGTGGAGAAACAAAGGATCGATATCTTCCACTTTACTTTATCTAATATTTGATATCTGAGTGAATAAAAATAAAACTATTTCAGAAATTAAAGCAGAGTTCTTTCTTATCTTCAGGCTTCCCTCAAGATGATGCAGCTGAGATCGCGGTGTCGACTGTGAAAGAATGGCTCACTGATAAACAAGCTTTGGTATGTAATGTTTGTATGCTCCTCCAGAGAATTTGACCAGCGAAATATCAAACTGCTTTACATCATGGATCGATTGTTTTGTGAATTGAGTTCTGCATTGGCTGAACCCAATGTCGTTGCTGGAGCTTGAAACCTTTAGTGGTCAGTCTTAGCAGGGAGTTTACCAAATGATTTCTTAAGTGGCTACATTGGAGAGTCTTTCAGTCCTCAATCTTAGAAGTAGTTGGCCTCAAATGTCAAGTGATTGAAGTGTAGCACAAGGTTAAACTCAGTGGCCTAGCACTCACTTCTTTTATCAAATAACAGCCCCTATTTGATAACCCAGTCCTGAAAAGAACAGTATTTGAACATTTTTCCCCTTTTATCTTTAACTTAAAACCAAGTGATTGCGTGCAATTCTTCTTCTATCCCTGGTTGTTAATGAGCCTCGTTATTTCGGACTTTTGCTCTGTTGAACTGTACCTTGAGATCAAGGTGATCCCAGGCTTGTTTCGAGCGGTATACAAAGTACAACCATTACAGCTTTTTATTTAGATGATGCATTCTGTAACAGGATGATTTCCATAATGGTTTGCAACTGGCTTCCTTCATCTAGACTTGCAGTGAACAAAAAGGCTAGTGAGTATCTTGTGGACAATGTTGGTAATGTGCCGATGATTGCAAGGGTCATATTCTGAACTGAGACACAGTGGAAAAACCTGATCGTGGCCTCCCCTTCTGACCCTGTTTCTCACTTTCTGAAACCAGACCCTTGGAGGAGGTGGAATAAGCAACGTTGCCAATACTGCTGCTGTGAGGCCTGTTGTTTTGTTGATGCTTAAATCCGAGCTGAGGTGGAATTTCCATCAGTTATTATTCCCATCTGATGAAATAGGTACTCTCTACAACAAATGCTGGAGATCACAGTGGGTCAGGCAGCTTCCATGGAGAGAGAGCAAGTTAATGTTTTGAGCCTAGATGACTCTTCATCAGAGTTGACGTGAAGTGTGGAGGGGGAGGCATTTATGCAATAGTTGAGGAGGATGGAGTGCTCAGGGAAAAAAAGATGTTGATAGTTCAGGTTAAGTGATCGAAATATGAGAATGGCAGAACAATGGTGTGTCTAACTGCCAAACTGGAAAGAACAGGCAGTCCCACTGGAGTGCAGGGTGGGGAGAGAGGACATGGTGACAGACAATGTAACAAGTAAAGTTAAAAGAAAGGGAAGGAATGGGAGTTGGCTCACAATTTGAAGACGTTGAACTCAATATTAAGCCCAGAAGGCTGTAAAGTGCCTAGTCTGAAGATGAGATGTTCCTCCAGTTTGAGCTGAGATTCACTGGAACACTGCAGGATGCTGAGGACAGACACATGGGCATGTGAGCAGGGCGCTGTGTTAAAATGACCGGCTACCAGAAGGTTGGGGCTATGCTTGCGTTCAGACTGGAGGTGTTCCAACAATATACAGGATTGGAAGAGGTACAGGTGGAATACTGCTTCACCTGGAAAGACTGAGTTTAGGCCTTTGGATAGTGAGCTCTGATGAAGAGTCATTTAGACTGGACATGTTATCTTACTCTCTCTCCATGGATGCTGCCTGACCAGCTGCCATTTCCAGCACTTTTTGTTTTCAGGACAGATTCCAGCATCTGTAGTGATTTGTTCCTAAATGGGCATTCCATTTCTGCTTATTAACTCCCTGATCACCTAAATTGACCTAAGTAATGTGTCCGATGAAAGATCCCAAGATCTAGAATCTGATCTATCGGTTTATGGCAATAATAAGGGTCCCAGTGTGAGTGTATGTGCCTTCACTTCAGTGTGACTATGAAATAAGTTGCAGTCTGAAGACTTGTTGACTTAACTTCAGGAAAGATTTGTTCCTGTGTAAACAGTTTAGCAAAGGGAGATGCCATCTGTTTGCACTATAGTTTCACCGGTCTATATAACATGTCACACGTGCATTGAAAAATATGTTGAAGGTCCATAAGGGACACTTGAACTGAATCTAATTAGGATCAGATGTTTGTGCTGGTTCAGACAGCTCCAGAATGAATTTAATTCCAAGTTAATCCTATAATTGTAAGGGTGCCTTTTCAAATCAGATTCACTTTGACTTATGCAAATTCATAACAATTAGTTGGCTGTGCTTAATTTAGATTGACTGTTAATTCTAGTAAGCTTTAATCACCAGCCTGCAGCTAAATGATTTATGTTGTTGTGCCAGACTCTGATTTACACCCATTTATTTCATTTGCAACTCGTGAAGATTTATACTGAGCCCATCGATGAGTCTTCCTTTTCGAATCACCTGTAACTGGTCCAAAGAGTCTGTACTGATACCCACTTAATGACTCGAAGGAGTAAAATACTGTTTTGAAATTGACCCGAAAGTGCACACTGGTACTTGTCCCTTACATCTCCATAGACAATCAGTCCCATGATGGAATATCAGTGCGATGGAGGGAAATTGTAGTCACAGTGCTTTGGCAAACCGGTGGTGAGCTTGTGTTGGGATTGAGTGAAGGGAGACCAGGTCCTTGCCCGTGCAGGACGAGGCAATGGATTTTCTTTATTGCGTTCAGCTGTATAGAATGCCGTAAAGGGGTCCTGTAGCTCAGTTCATGGGACGGCTGGTTTGCAACACAGAGTTTAATTCCCACACCAGCTGAGGTTACCATGACGGGCTTTCCTTCCCAACCTCTCCCATTGCCTGGGGCACAGTGACCCTCAGCTTAAACTCACATCCAGTCGCTTCTCTCTAATGAGACACAGCAGCCCTGTGGTTCTCTGGGATGATGGTGACTTTACCTTTATAGGCTGCAGTTTCCCAGTTGCCTTGGAGACAGGAAACTGGACCTTCTTATTTCATTCCATCAGTAAATCAAGGTTTCTACACTTTTGAGGCAGAATGATACTCAGTTGTATTTGTTGAGAATGTAGAGTGGGATATATTGAGAGTGTGTGAGCCAAATAGCTTCATATATTCAGAAAGATCCACATTGTGTTCCTGCATGAGTGAAGTTGATTTGATTTGATTTCTTATTACGTGTACTGGGATACAGCGAAAAGTCTTTTTTTTGCCTGTTGATCTGACAAATCATACCTTACATAAACACATTGGGATAATAGAACAAAAGGCAAAATATAGTGTTACAGCTACAAAGAAGGTGCAGAGAAGAATCAATGTAATATATGAGAGGTCCATTTATGAGTCTGATAACAGCGGGGAAGAAGCTATTCTTGAATCTGATGGCACGGGTTTTCAAACTTTTGTATCTTATGCCCGATGGAAGAGGGTGGAGCAGAATATAACCGGGGTGGGAGGGGTCTTTGATTATGATGGCAGCGGGAAGTATAGATGGTGTCAATAAATGGAAGGCAGGTTTACACGATGGAGTGGGCTATGTTCGGAACTCTCTGTAATTTCTTGCGGTCTTGGGCCATACCAAGCTGTGATGTACCCAGATGGGATGCTTTCTATGGTGCATCTATGAGAAATGGTAAGAATCTTAGCAGATCAGAATGGTTTGCTTTATTTGTTAGTGAATAGTAAAGCAGTGAAGTTTAGTCTGTCTGCTAACCTGTACTAATAGAAGCAGAGATAACGAGATGTAGAGCTGGATGAACACAGCAGGCCAAGCAGCATCAGTAAAGCAGGAAAGCTGACATTTTGGGTCTGGACCCTTCTTTAGATGCTGCTACTGATGCTGCTTGGCCTGCTGTGTTCATCCAGCTCTACACCTTGTTATGTCAGATTCTCCAGCATCGGCAGTTCCTACTATCTCTAATAGAAGCAGTCCTAGATTTCCCCTTGTGTTGGACTCCCCATTAAAGTAAATCATTTCTGGCTACCTTATAAACTCCTTTACTTATCCTAGATACTTCAACTGCATCAGTCCTTACTTGTGTCTCACCCAACAAATCCAGGCCTCAACTCTGCAATATTATTTATTTTGGTGTAACCATTCATCTAGTTTTATTTTGCTGACACTGACTTGTCATTATCCACTCTTCAAAAACTTCAAACTAAAAATTGTTTATTTAAAATAGATCAAATCAGTGCATTCTCAACTTAGTGGCGTGCACCTAGCTTTGAACTTGTGTGGCATTGGAAATGGAAAATAAAGGTTTGTTTTTGAGCACTTTTAAGACAGAGATGAGGATGAATTTCTTCTCTGAGAGGGTAGTGAATCTGTGGAATGCTTTACTGCAGGGGGCTGTTGAGATTGGCTTGTTAAGTATATTCAAGGCTGAGACAGACAGATTTTTAATCAGGAAGGGAATCAAGGGTTATGGGGAAAAGGCAAGAAAGTGGAGTTGAGGATTATTAGATCAGCCATGAACCTGTTGAATGGTGGAGTACACTGGATGGGCAGAACAGCCTACTTCTGGTCCTCGATCTTCTGGTCAGTTTGGTTTTTGAATGTAGAAAGTGTTAATGTTCTTTGTCTTGGCTTCCCTCTCACTCAGTCCCTCTAATTCTGGAAATGGAATACATGAGGAAACAAGGCATTGTGAGCTCTGTCAGGAAAACTTGGTCCACCAGAGCTGTGAATGCTATTCACTGTCTAGGCCTCCCATACAAGATGGAGCCACAGACTCTGATAAACTGATTGTCAGTGAAGTTCTTCCTGGAGTTCGTAGCATATGATTTTTCTTGCCCTCAGTGTGGAATGTCCTATTTACCTCCAAAGGATGTTCAACCTTTACTTTATTTATCCACGGCTTGTGGGCATCTTAGTAATGCTAATGTTTGTTGCCCATCCCTAATTGCCCTTGAGGAGATGATAGTGAGCACTGCTTTGAATCACTGCAGTATGTGGATTGGAGGTACACCCACAGTGCTATTAGCGAGGGAGCACCATGATTTTGACTCAGCAAAACAGAAGGAACAGCAACATATTTCCAAACCAGGATGGGGCCTGGCTTGGAGGGGCACTTGCTGGTGGCGATGTTCCCCTGTATCTGCTGCCCTTGTCTTTCTAGATGGCCGAGGCCATGGATTTAGAAGGAATTGG